ACTATTTTATTTCCGAACAACACCTCCTTATATTCATAACGACAAGACCACGGTTGCACTTGCTCTTATCCCTGGCTATTTGGATTCATTTCCAAGGCCGAAAATAAGGGCATCGAACGCACTGGCACATCTGGTGTCAAAATGTGCCCTCACGGCACACTGACTCAGTTTGCGACTTTAGCGCTTGCGTTCGCCTCGAGGTCCGCTCAGCGGAGCGTCGACCTTAAGAGAGGCTTCCACTTCGTCCCCATTCGGACTACCGGCTCCCCTAGAACCTAAGAACGAAGTCTCCCGAAGGATGAAGTGCCTCCCGTTGAGTCGGTACTTCCCCTAGTTCCCTTGCGGTCCGGAATTTGGACCCGACGATACGGCGATTCGGTTCGCGTTACGTTCACTCTCTCGGGTTCCATGCGTGCAGAGCCTTGGACGTAACACACGAGAAATACTAAGGATATTACATTTTTAATGTTGAATTCGATATAAACTATAGTGTTTTATTACTTGTGGTACACAACGTGTAATTATTTCACTTAGTTGAAATTAATTATTCTTATATGAATATACATACATAAGATGTCTCATTTCAACTGTTGCATCAAATTATGTCAAAACGATAAGGAAACGTGTATATCAGATAAAAGTGAAACGATTTCGATGACATGAGACTTTCAATACTTTTTGAACATATTTTGTTACATTGTTTTTTTTTAGGAGGAGAAGCATCTAAAAGATGATACTGTACAATTTAAGGATGTATTAGGCCTGCAAGGAAAATTAAATTTGGAAATATGTTTAATATTTCCATTTCAAATAAAATATATACATTTGAAAGTTAGGTGAATAAGATTTTTTTTTTGTTTAATAACATATTCTTCTAGATTATTTATTGTAATGGTTATAACTTTTAGTTTAAAAATTAAAATTTTTTTAATCTTAAAAAGTTTACGTTTCTCTTGTATAAGTACTTTAAATATTCACATAAAATAATTTATGCGAACTTTTATTGCGATTCACTGATTATTGTTACAAAGATATAGAACAAATAAATATTTTATTTATTTAATGGACAACTAGTTCATGCATCGCAATGTAACTCAACATAAATAATCCTGAATTTCTAATGCACTTTAAGAAATTGAGATTTTTATCATTCATTCCATATATTGCATTTTCATATATTTTTATTAGAACACCGTTTAAAAAAATACTACTATTTAATAAATTAACTTATGTTCCAGATAGTAAACGATCACTTCTGTAGTATTATATTTAAACGTGATTTATGGTAATAATCTGTAACTTTTTGATAATTTTGTTTTCACTTTGAAAATATGTATAAAAATCCTTAATTCTCTGCTTCTACATTTAATCGACTATAATACGTATTCAAATCTAAATTTTTTTCCACCGTATAATTTTAAGGGTATCCTATTATACCTATTATATCTTAATATTATTCAATATTACTCAATATTATTTGAAAGTATATGTCAGGATTATTGAAATTTGCGAAAGGTTGCGCATTTTCTAAAGTTTTATCAAAAAAATACGTAGGCACAATGAATAATTCTATTAAACAAACAAGTATATGTGATCTTGCACTTGATTTATCTCATTATTCTATTCATAAAAGTATTAGCATATTACCATTATCAAAAAATTAATGGTTTACGAGATATTTAATGCGTCATGTCAATTATGTGCCAGAGAAATGTATCTACAATATTTCGTAAATTATTGGTTCTTTTATTTCTTAATACTTATACATGTAGAATGATTATAGAAAAATCATATTACGTAAAAAATCATATAAGTCCATTTTAAAAATCGCCGATGAATATTATATCTTTTTCATTGCGTCTCTCATCGTATCTCTATTTAGAAAAGAATATCGTGATCATAATAGGCCTCGCTTGAAGTAGTTGCACTTTCATAGAAAACATTTTTTTAATACTTTTTGAAATATGTCGATGTGAAAGTTAGATTGAGACATTCTGTATACATATATATATTCGCGTGAATGTGTGTACACAGTAATTCTATTAACTAATTATTACATTAAAATCCATATAACACATTGTTTGTGATCTTTAGGTTCTGTTATCCGCTGATGCACAAAGATGGATCTGTTTTGTCTTCTGTAATCTGCGCTACTTTCGAACTGATCACAATATAAAGCACGTAAACGTTCATTGACTCGATGAAATCTGGAACTTGTGCATCTGAATTAAAAAAGACTTAGTTATATCTTTTATTAAAATTATAACATACGCATTATGTATATGCACATTAACGCTAATTGCGGTAATAAATAATCAGAAGTCGGACTAAATAAGAATTTAATTATTACGTGTTGAACTTAATTCCTGCCGTTTTTCATCTCCAAAATTGATTTGTTTTGAAGGGAAGATGAATGAATACTTTAATCAAAGTAATTTCCTCCATTTTCTTCTTTATTACTAATTAATAATACTTTATTAATAATACTTTGATTAAGGTATTTCCCTTCAAAACAAATCAATTTTGGAGACGAAAAACGGTAGGAATTAAGTTCTACACCGAATATTTACTTTTTGTAATATAATATTTAATACACATATATGGAGCAGAATTTTAAAATGTATTTTTTACCCAAAATTTATAATTTTTATATAACGAAAAGGAACCCACCTGAACACTACACTGTTAAATATTATAGGGTCTAATTAACTCAATGTGAATCGCCACTGCTCCTACTCAATAACATCGTTATTTTTTACTAAAACAATGGTTATATTTGACACTATACTATAGTATCAATTTAACATTATATTATGTCAAATTTAATTATCACATTGGTAAAAAATAACGATATATTTAGTAGGAGCAGCGGTGACTCACAATGAGTTAATTTGATCCTATAAAATTTAACAGTGTACTCGCCTTACAGGAA